GTTGACTGTTGGGCTTCACCAAACCTAAATCCCAATCTGGCAGTAGCTTTTATAGGATCCAGAAATACATTTCATGGTAAGTATAACAGGTTTTCTCTTTTAAATCTGACTGTTCCTTCAGAAAAGCCTTTTCAGTATCATACCAGCCACAACTAACGTGCACACCCACCGCCTATGATTCTCCTCTAAAACCTTACTTGCTGCTCATTTGTCAGTGCTTGACCTCTCCCTTTCACCTCTACCTCTGCCTTGCTTGGCTAATAAAAGGGCAAAAGTAGGTATGATTTGAGAAATCAATGAACAGGATCCCTTATCTTTTCTGTAAGATCAGGGCTACTGTGGGACAGCATTGGTGCTGTGGCAGGGGCCACGGGTTCCTCTTCCATTGTCCTCTGCAACATATTTCTCAAAATTGCCACCCAAAGCTGCTGTTTGCCCTGGGGGGGGGGCATAAGGGTACCTGCTTTCCAACAGTGTAAGTGCACTCATTCTATTTGCAGATCAAGGTTGTGATCTGAATTGCAGGGCTCCTCATACATTTTCTTCATATACTTGCTCAACAATGGAAACTAAATCAGTCTACACTGGGTTGGGCTTTTCTCTATTAGCTACCCCTAAAGCTGTCCATGTGTGTGTTGCTTGGGTTGGGGGGATGGCCCCTACATATGGAATTGATTCTGCAGCCCCTTCCTTGCCGGGATCCAAGGTGAAAATCTGTGGCGTGGGGGTAGAAATGGGAGCCCTCTGTCCTTGCCTCTTTTGGGGAAGAGAACATTCCAAGAACCCTTCTGAGCCCAGAACCTCCCAGTTATTTCACTGTGCTGTTGCCAAGGACAATTTGCATGATGCCCTTTGAATTATAGATGAGCCAGTTTTCTTTGGTGCCAGAACAAACTTGAAGCATTCAAAGTTGTGTCAGCTTCAAAGCAAACTGTTTTAAAAAGAGGAAATAATGGGTTCTGAGCTAGACTGGGCTGCTGCTGGTTGCATCTTAGGTTATTTATTTATTTATTATTTTGTAAGCAAACATGTTCTCTCTTGAAAAGAAAAAAACAAACATTGTTAACTTTCAGAGTTCTGAAGAATTAAATCAGGAAATATACAATGACACAAAACTGTCAGCAAAGTTTCCTGGTGGGAAGTTCCCAAAGTGCCACTAGCGAGGTTTATTTACAGGTAGCATAAGGCATCCAATCCAGTCATTTCATTGCTAACCAGTTAGATGCCGGAGAAGGTGTGGTGATAACCCCTGTTGTTTCCCACAGTATCTGGCAGTCATGCATCTATGTTCACTTGTTGGGTGGTGGTGTCTGAATGAGCCATCACTGATCAAACACTACAGCTAGAACTTTCACATCACCTCAAACATAATGTTTCTTACCAGAGTGAGTTCACACATTCAGTTGTCAGCTAGCAAGTGATGAATAACCAAGAGACGTACAGCCCCGTGTGAACCAGCCCTGCCTCTTAACACAGAAATGCCATTCTTGGTGTGACTTGAGAGTGACAGCAGTAAGTGTGCGCTAAGGCTTCGTGACTAAGCACATCCTAAAGGATATGAGGGACGTGGGTGGCGCTGTGGATTAAACCACAGAGCCTAGGACTTGCCGATCAGATGGTTGGCGGTTCGAGTCCCTGCGACGGGGTGAGCTCCCGTTGCTCGGTCCCTGCTCCTGCCAACCTAGCAGTTCGGAAGCATCTCAAAGTGCAAGTAGATAAATAGGCACCACTCTGGCGGGAAGTTAAACGATGTTTCCATGCGCTGCTCTGGTTCACCAGAAGTGGCTTAGTCATGCTGGCCACATGACCCGGAAGCTGTACGCCGGCTCCCTCAGCCAGTAAAGCGAGATGAGTGCCACAACCCCAGAGTCGGCCACGACTGGACCTAATGGTCAGGGGTCCCTATACCTTTACCTTTACCTTTAAGAGATATGAAAGCTGAAATTCTTAAGGTGCTATTCTTGTTCCAAAGGGAACTTGACATATAACTTGACTTTGAAAAAATGTTTCTTGCAGAAACAAAGATTGATGCAAAGCAGGAACCACATGAAATGTTATGGCTGTGGCATGAAGTCTGCTCCACATGGAACTGTTGCTTTGGCAGCAGGTGTGCCACAATCCTCAGTTTAACCTGAGAGCAACTTTTCAGACTAGGTTATATATTTGGATGTAGATAACTAGATTGCAATATACACAGAGTGCAGCAATGGAGAAGGGGGGGCACACATGCGGTGCTGCTTTTATGTTTTTGTTGTTTTTTAAAATAGAGGTGCCAGAATTCACCATGACAAGCTGGGCGCCACATGGCACCTGAAAAGTAGGCTATGGACACAAAATTACAAAGCTGAAATGACTGAACTCCAGCTAAAATGTTTATTTTCATATGGTCTAGTCCTCATCTGAGACTGCGAAAAACAAAGCCATGCTTCCCCTGCCTGCCCCCCTAATATTCTTATGTAGTCCCTTCTCCCATCTTCAGAAAGTGGCTGAAAGTGGGACTGCAGAAAAAGGTCCTCCTTTCCTTCTACTCTGCAGAAGATTTCTGGATTCTCCTTAAACCCCCTTTCCTTCATATTAGATTCGGGCAAACAACTAACACATATTTCAGGCACCACTACAAAAATTGTTTAGATTTTAACCATCACTGAGAGTCTGAGGTAGATAATGCTTTGAAATGCACTACTTGAACCATCATAAACTAACCGGCTAGTATATTTCAAATTAAAAGCATATCATACATTATAAGTACATTAAACAAGGCAAATAAAACCTAACCAAAACATGTTGGGTTTGAATGAAAAAAAGAAAAAGTTCTGGAAAGCACAAGCTCGAGGAAGTTTCATCCCCAAATGCTCCCCTTCTCTGTACGCTATCTGATATTTCTCCAACTTCTTGGACTCACCAACCATCCCAACACTGGGATGTTACTGCCAAACACAGCCCATGCCTCCTCCTCCCTCCAGGGACACACAGCTTTCACATGCCGCATCATCCCCAAATCCGCTCCTAACTTTTGCTTCTTCCAGAAGACATTTAGATGAACTCTTACTGGCTTCCCACCTCAGTATGACTCCCAGCATCCATCATGCATGTCCATTTACACGTTTCCTTTCTCCTCCCCAAGCCGACTCCTGGAACCAGAGGTGCTAAGTTCTGCCCACCATTGAGGGAGCTCATTGCATGCGCGTGATGTCACATCTGCAACATCACGCATGTTGGGAGAAGGCGCCAAGATCCGTTGCCACTGCAGAGAGGCCCAAGGAGGCCCCTCAACATTGGGGCGAGGGTGGTGGTGGTCTTGGTTAAAGATTGGAAACCTCTCATAGACTTTTTGTGCGAAAAAGAAATAATGACATCGGATTTTAGGACTGAAGATAATGTTTGTTTATAGAAAGTGGCTTTGTGGGGCGTTATATTGGATTGGACAAAGTGAATATTGTTATATAGCGGACAGATAAAGAATCAGAAGTTCTTAACTTTCTGAATCTTATTTTTCTATCTTTCTCTTTTAACCTCTTCTCTATTCTTTTATTTATTTATTTATCCATCTCTATTTCTCTCCCCTTTCCTGCCACCTTTTTGTGTTTTTATGGTGTCTATATAAAAGTCTTTGTTTGGTTAAAAAAGGGAAACTATATTAAATTTTGTATATTTCTCTATAAACCTTAATAAAATTAATTTTAAAAAAGATGGGGGGGGCTTGTTCCTGTCCCCACATACTTTGTCCCCACATCTGAGGTGTCCTCAGCCCCATAGAGTAGGTGCCTGTGTCTAGAATTCCACCATCTCCCTTCCAGGGAGTTATTCCACGTGTATCTCTCTCTCTCACGCACACACCCTACTCTTGTGCACGCACACACCAAGGCAAGGCTTGACACGATCCCTTCACGTGTCTCCAAACCCCACCATCCCCACATGCTGATCCACTTCCTCACCCTTCTTCTCCTTCTGTGTCTCCTTGGCAAAGAATAGTTGCCGGATTTAAGAGCCCCCTCCCAGCCCCAAGTGTGCTTGCACACGCCTTCCCACTCAGCGGCAGCCATTTTGCTTGTGAATCAGGCAAGGCGGCACTTTGAATCTCATCTTGACTTTCACAGTGGCGCACACAGGGGCAGTTTCACTCAGCTGCTGGTGCTAAAAGTGAAAAATTAAGGAAAGCCCCCTGTGGACACTCCCCAAAGCCTTTCCGCCCTCACTGATCTTTTTCCTGAGAGGGATGCAGGAGCAATTTTAGGAAAGTGGCTCCGGAGGGGTTGAAGGGAGGAAAGGAGGGAAATCCACAAACAAAGAATCTACAATCCCACCCCCTTGCCCACTCACAGTTGGCCAAGCAGGCAGGTCAATTTTTCAGGGCAGGATGCTCTCCTGTTGGCTTTCCTGTTGGATGGGGGGGGGGCACTGGCCTGCAATGGCAGCCACCTGAAAGGTGCCGGAGCTGCAGTCCAGTGAGCTCCAGCTGAAAAAAAGCCCCGCACACAAGCAATGTTCTTGGTCTTTAGTATATTCATACCCCACTTGTCAGCCAAGATTTGTTATTCGTTATTGAGATTTTTGTAAGGTATTTGTAAACTGCTTTAGGAAATAATCTTGTCTGAGAAGTGGGGTCAGTCTGCTGGCAGTTAATGATGCAGTCCAGGTAATCTCCAGCAGCGAGCAGCCAAATCTCTCTTTAAAATGCAGTTGGAGCTTCAACCCTTTCCTGGTACCTCCTTTGGGGTGGGGCTTCCATTCTTTCTTTGTTGATGCCTTCCTTAACTGATGAACTAGGTGCATTTTGTACCTCAAGTTCAAAATTTAGCTGTCCTGAGTGTCTTCTGGAAACTATGTAAGCATTTATTTTTATTTACATTAGCTGTTAGGAATAAAAATGGCTTCTGTGTTTTTCATTATATTTGAGTTGAGTTGGAAATGCAGTTTAGCATGAGAAGAAGTAACTGTAAGGACAGGGGTGGAAAACCTCTTTAGTTCTGACTTGTGTGCCATTGCACTTGGTTTTCTAGAGTTGACAACTCTGAAGATCCTGTGTATGAGAGCCTAGAGGAGTTCCATGTTTTTGTCCTGGCACATATATTAAGGCGACCGATTGTTGTTGTTGCAGACACAATGCTACGAGACTCGGGAGGAGAAGGTGAGTCATTTTGCTGGCAATTATTTATTTAAAATGTTTTTATACCACCTTTAATAAAATCTTAGGTTGGTATATAGAGTTAATATTAAAAATACAACAATAAACATACATATGTAGAAACAGTAAAATATCCAACCTGGGGTTAATTAAAACCATTTGGCGCTTAAAGCCAGAAAAGTCCTGGAGAAAAGACGCTTGTCTTCAGCAAGCATCTAAATGGCGGGTGCCTGACTCAGTTCATATTACACACCCAGAGAGAGAGAGAGCCATGTCAGAATAGGCCACAACCAAGATAGCCTCCTTAGCTGACCTCAGTGGCCAGGCCAGTTGGTAAGGGAGAGGAGTGCCTTCAAGTCTCCTGGTCCTAAGTTGTTTTATATATCTACAAAAGCCTTAAATCAGGCTCAGTAGCATCTTAGCAGCTACTGAATATTAAGGGATATTAAGTAAACAAACTCATTTCAGTGGAAACTGTGTTAAACTATGGAACCTGGTAGGTGTGATATCTACTCTTTTAGAAATGAAATATTTGTCTAGAATGGCAAAAAGCACAATTTAAAGGCTTCATATAAGTGAACAGGAGTTTTAGTAATGGTGGTAGAATTCCACTGCTGGTGTTTTTCCTGTCCAGAGTGTGTCTGACAATCCAGTTTTTCCCCTAGTGGTTATTACTTTTATCTCCTAATGAAAAGAACCATTTCAACGCCTGTAATGGCTGCCAGTCCTCAAAGGAGCCACAGGCAGCCATGCCTCAGTATTCCACTTTCAGTTCTAAGTGCATCCTCTTTGGAGTAATCATGGAAACTCTGTGTGATAAACTGAATAAGCCAAAAGAATGTAAGATTCAGCAGTGCACATTTGTAGCCAATAATAATTTTTAAAATTGCTGAAAATATTTTGATATCAGACATTGTTCACTATACTTTGTGTGTCTTATGAATACAGTAAAGAGAGCAACTATATACAGACCATCCCTGGTTGAGGGAAGGCCTGCACAATTTGCAACCCTCCAAGATGAGCATAGTGCAGCAGCAATTCATTTTGGCCTGTCAGCTGCTAAGCAAGCTCTCTTGCGGTTATAATCAAACAGCAGCATGCCCAACAGGCCACTTTGCATGATTGTGATGTGATGGGAAATGAATGAAGAGTAAGGTAAAGGTAAAGGGACCCCTGACCATTAGGCCCAGTCGTGGCCGACTCTGGGGTTGCGGCGCTCATCTCACTTTATTGGCTGAGGGAGCCGGCATACAGCTTCCGCGTCACGTGGCCAGCATGACTAAGCCGCTTCTGGCGAACCAGAGCAGTGCACGGAAACGCCGTTTACCTTCTCGCCGGAGTGGTACCTATTTATCTGCTTACACTTTAGGGGTGCTTTCGAACTGCTAGGTTGGCAGGAGCAGGGACCGAGCAACGGGAGCTCACCCCATTGCAGGGATTCAAACCGCTGACCTTCTGATCGGCAAGTCCTAGGCTCTGTGGTTTAACCCACAGCGCCACCCGCGTCCCGAATGAAGTAGTACATCAATATTAAAATACATTGAGGCTGCTGAGGCTGCCTATTCCTAGTTTCACAACATGTTTGCAAAATCTTGGTTTCTCTTCACAGCATTTGCACCAATTCCATTTGGTGGAATTTACTTGCCTTTGGAAGTCGTGCCTAACCGATGTCATTGCTCACCTCTGGTCCTTGCCTATGATCAAGCGCATTTCTCCGCTCTTGTTTCTATGGAGCAAAAAGATCAACAAAGGGAACAAGGTATGTCAAGTAGGAAAGCAAATTGTTTTCTTTTAGTGGAAAGGAATGCAGAGCTACTGTCTATGGGCATGCTATCTGTATGTGCCTATCATAAACACTGTGCTGAGTTAGAAATGATAGCAGCCACCGGCCCGTGTTTTATTAGCCCAAAAATGGGAAGCAAGCAAGGTCCCAACCAATGAAGAATGGCTACTTAAACTGATGGAATACGTTTAACTTGCAGATTTAAAGAAGACTGGAAACTGTTTACTGAATATATGTATGAAAAATTGTGTTCATTTACAAATGCTGGTAGCATTAAGATACATTTAACAGTGTAAATAAGTTTCGATGGACGCAACAATGGTTTACTGAATGGTTTAGTTCATGTAAAATATGCAGGGCTGTTTGGTGTGCAAAATGAACCACGGAAATAGAAGAAGGGAAGTCATTGATTTAAGGTTGTTTAAATGAATATTTTGAAATGTAAATCCGTTCATATGAATCTCTAGAAGGTGTATTTTATGGGTCACACTGTAGTATTTTGAATCATTGCCAACATAGCTTGTAGAAGCGGCAATTCCAAGTTAACATTGTACTAATCCATTGTTGGTGGTGTGATTGGGCAGCGTTTGGTTCTTCCATCTTCCTTGCTTTTTTCTCTGATCTGTTTTCTGCATTCTGCCTTTCTAAAGGTGAAAGGTATACCAGGTAAGTCATTGGTGTTCCGAGGCACAGCGCCCAGACTCCAATTTCAAACCATGGTTTAAGACCCTGACTTGTTCTGAAGCTGGCACACATGGTTTCCGGGTTCAGATGAAATATTGAGCCAATATATGATTGTCTAAATGTGGCTACTACCTAACTTTCCCTCAATTCTACATTTATTTATTTAATGGAACCAGAAATCCTCATTAATCCAGCATCCATGCCAGATAATTCCAGAGAGTTATTGGATATGCCACAAGTTCTCCTCCGCTATAGTTAGGGAAGACTGGTTTAGTCTTGGGACCATATTATGCAGAGCACTGTGTTAAAATACTAGCACCTTTGGTAAAGGCAACTAGGTTATTTTGCACATGCCTTGTCAACAGACTGGGCTTAGGCTTGCTGTTAATGTCGAGTTGAAGCTTCTGTGTAATCTATGGCACATCATCTGTATTCATCATGTGGCACTGGAAAATGTATCACTGAGATAATGGAAATGTGGGAAATTTCATTTGTCTTGAGTACATTGTTTTTTCCTTAGTGTTTTGATGTTCAGTGGAATGGCTCTCACAACTGTATGGCAAGGCAGTTTGCCATTCCAATAACTGCAACTCACTGTGCAAATGAAGGAATTTAAAGTAGTTAAGATGACATTTTTAATTGGACCAGCTTCAGTTGGTGCAAGAAGAGAAGTAGCTTCTTCCCAACATTCATTTCTATATAAAAATGTCTATATCTCTTTGCTATTAAAAATATTAAAAACAGTGTACTAACTCTATAAAAACAAATTTAAAACACACTAGTAAAAGATTCAAACTATGGAAGATCCTCAAAGAATTGCAGCGTCTTAGGATGTGTAAAATAAACAAAAAACCTTGGCAAAAGTATTTTCCAGAGATTAGTCAATACAGTGGTACCTCGGGTTAAGTACTTAATTCGTTCCAGAGGTCCGTTCTTAACTTGAAACTGTTCTTAACCTGAGGTACCACTTTAGCTAATGGGGTCTCCCACTGCTGCAGCACTGCCGTTGCGTGATTTCTGTTCTCATCCTGAAGCAAAGTTCTTAACCCGAGGTACTATTTCTGGGTTAGCAGAGTCTGTAACCTGAAGCATCTGTAACCAGAGGTACCACTGTATAGGCTAAGAGACACGCCTCATAACTCCACCAGTAAAGCCTCGTGGGGGAGCAGCACCTGTAGCAGGGACTCCTTCCCATAACTTAACAATTCAAGTTCATACGGGGACTGTCATTTCCCAATTTATTCTGGGCCTTCCACTTTAAATGAATCCAGAAGCATGACAAAAAACTATGAGCAAAGTTGGTTAAAGATTAAAATTATTTCCCCCAAACACTAATGTGATAGAAATGTAGTGAGACAAACAATATCTTCCAGGGTTTTAAGAAGTATGAATAACAGGAGCACAATACTTTTAGCCAGCACATGAATAAATGGTTCCCTCTAGTGTTGTTTTCTGGTCTGAATCCCCATCATCACCACCACCACTATTTCACCTTTAAAAAATGCATGCGGTCAAGATACCCTGCAGCAGATCTAGTTTGGCCTTTGTTCTTTTAGCCACAGATGTACTGGAGATCATGGGAAAAGCCTAGCACAGACTTTGGATAAGTGCCTCCCAATAGTGTCAGGCAAAATTGTTAAGCAAGCAAAGAGAAGAAAGTGGGAGGAGTTTGACATTGCTAACTAAGAGAGGATATCCTCCCTAGGGCTTCATGCAGGCGTATGATGGAACACAGGGGTATGGCAAAGTAATGTCCAGAATGCAACAATTTGTTGGTTTTGTATACTCCAGACTTCTGCTTTTATTATATCTGAAGAGGCTGAATTCCCACATGAAGACATTTTATACCTTCTAACAGATCTTTTTTATTTCAAGATCCTTTTTCTGTGCAGAGCAGAACAGCTAGAAGCAGGCCTCTTGATTTCTAGATCTTGCGGTATAAAGTAAGCAGCTGTTGTGCTGATATTTTTTAAATCATGAGTTTTTAGCTGCCTTTATTCATGAATTTGTCGGTTCAAAGGCACAAGTAACTCTTTCTGCCAAAGGACTGGTTTCCCATAAATGGATAAGTGGGATGGCTTTATTCCAGTGTTGCTGAAAGCATGCTTTGATTTCAACAGCACAAGGAGACACTATGAAGGAAAGAAATGCTGTGATTGTGGGTGCCTACTCAGTAGACATTTCCAAATACATTTTAAAATATTAGATGATATTCCCTGGCAGGTTGTGGGAAATTGCAGCAAAAGAACAAAGATAGAAGAAAAATTCATTCTATATTTTTATTTGACCTGGGAGCATTTGCGACCTCCTTTCCATATAGGAATGTGGGCCGAGTCCCCTAGTGATTGCGAAGGTGCTTCTCTTATTGTTAAAAGGATCTCAGTCCTTTCCATGTTTGAATACAGCTTTCAAGTAAAAATTTCAAGCTATAATCTTCCTTCAAGTGCTGTAGATTAAGTTGACAATATTTTTGCTGCTGCTTTTTTGCTACAAGATGTGTAGCCCTTCCAAAATTTATCTCCTACCTAATATCGTTTAGTTCTGCAGCATTGCACTCTATAGCTTTGAAGCTATTCTGACTTTTGGCTAATTCTCAGAGATGAAAAACCCTCTAGCCAGCTGCATCTTACTGATTAGTGTAATTACCTCTGTGAAGGCTCTACTGAATATGTATAAGATCCAAGGGTTGTTGCCATTGAATTTCCACTGCTTCTCAACGGTTCTTACCAATTTTCAATCAGACTCACAGATGTGAAGTTGCCACTTCTTCTACTGGCTGTTCTCATGCACATTTTAGCAGCTGCCTCATGCACAGAAATTTACTGGTGAAGCTTTTTTTCTTTTTCTTTATTTTTTTACTACTTCATGTCACAGCACACTGAATGTACAGTGTGGTTCATTGAGAACAACTCAATAAGAGGTCAGATTTTCATTCCTGCCCTTTCATTCTCTCTGGTTTTTAATCTCCCAACAGAAACTCAGTATTCTTTTCTCATTGCACATGCTTGGTCCTCATTACACTGCTTTTTTGGGTGGGGTTATCGCTTTAGGGGTTCCCCTCTAGTTCTGCATATCTTGTGATTTCTTCAAGCACTCTGATACTTCCCTTTTGTTCCTCAGCAGCTCCACCTTAGCTACACTGACATTGCCTTTTTACCTTTTTAAATTGAGTTAACTACTGAAGAGTCTTCAGAACAGCAATAAAACCAGATACACAGGGGAAAGGGAAAACACAAAGAGACAAGTAAGAACAATAGAGGATGAAAGAAAAAAGCAAATTAAAACATCTCAATTAATTAGGGAAGGAGCAGAAAATTATATATTTCATGAAGTGCTTCTGAAAGAGTAGGAGGGATCAAATCCTATGAATATCTAGAGGCAATGAGCTTCAAACTCTGTACAAAAGACTATTTTTTAAAATTCATATTTTGCCACTAAATCTTGTTACAGAGCAGATTGAGCTAAATGAATCTTAATGCCTTTCCCATTTCAGAACTGCCTTTTGGGATGCCATTTACTTGCTGGTGTCAAGAGCAAGTAAGGCAATGTGATTTTGGAGGCTTTTTAAGGTAACAGAGATGGAGACAGGCATAAATTTTACAATTATGCCATGCCAAGCACTTTCCCATGGTTTCATTCCATGCTGCTCGTGTTGTCCTTTAAAGGTCTGCAAACACCCATGTGACCTGGTCTTTTAAATGTTATGAATGTGAAGATCACCTCCCACAGTGTTCCAGTAATGTCTGGGGTACGGTTATGATTGGGGTGTGGGGAAAAACAGAAGGCTTTCACCTAGCAACTGGGGCTGGGGTCGGGCACCCCTCAATGGAAAAGTGTGACAGAGCCTGCAACCCCCCAGCTGAGCAGCCCCAATCCGGCTCCTGCTTGCAGGGTATTTGGAGCTCGCTCTGCTGGGGGGGGGGGTAGGAGCATTCCTGACCTCTAGCTGAGCGTCACAAGGGAGCCCAATCTCCCCACTGCTCCCCAGGACACCGGGGCTTCCACAGTGCCCTTTCTCAGCATTGTATAAGACTCCTAAAACACTCCTAGGTTTAAAAAACAACAACTTGCAGGCTGGGGTGGGGTTAATAGAGAGCTGCTGTTTGGGAAAGCCAGCATAAAAACCACGCATTATATCTGACAACTCATGCGCCCACTTATGAATTGTTAACTGCAGGCTGTTGGAGCAATGTCTGCCATACTACATTTTAGATATTTAGGATTCTATTTTTAGGCATCTTTCCAGTGGAGTAATTAAAAAATAAATGTGAAGACACACAGCCCACATGTTT